TGTTAATCTTCCTGCTTATTTTGTCCATCCCTTTAAGTTTTTGGAAGAAGTTTTGTTTCGACAGCTTGTATTTCTGTGGTCCTGTACTCTTGAGAAGTCAATATAGACCAGCTTTTCCGGTGGTTTAAAAATGCGCTGCATTTAAAAAATGCAAATTCAAGGTCTCACTATAAATGATTAGGAGTTTACATTTTGAGAACAAAAAATTTCCAATTAATTTTAATGCTCGTGCAACGATTGCAGTTAAAATCTTCCAGATCTAAACTAGAAAAATGTGTCTATTTTACCGCCAGTCTTCGAACAAGTGAAATAGTCGTAATTTGAATTTTGCGAACATCTGCTTGGAGTTTTCTGAGCGCTTGTTCGAAGCTATAATTTTAACTATTTTTGTTTCATTTATCAGTTAAAAACGTCCTTCGAGGGATATATTTTCATTTATATAGGGGGCGATAGACAGGTCGTTTAGAAAATAGTAAGAGTTTTGCGCAAAGTTCAATTGAATCTTGCTTAATTAGTTTTTCACGTAAATTATAGAGGTATCTTTTCAAGTCCGGAGTAGTCACAGACTTGTAATAACGATAATTGCAGTGATCTTCAGGTTACAGGAATTAATATTTTTTCTAAACCATTCAATTCGATTGCAGTAAAGGGAAGCTCACTTAATTAAGCAATAATTGCGCCCTGTCGATGGGAATGTCTATAAGGAAACTGAAAAGAAGTAACCTAGTCATAGAATTAATATAATCAAGTAGGAAAAAGCAAAACTAAAAAATTTCATAAATATGTTAAACATGGAAATAATTCAGTAGGTTAATTTGAAGACGAAGGACTCCCGACTTGCTATATCAATTTGAAGCATTAGGAAGGAAAAAGGAAAGTACACAATGTCTTTTCTTCAGACCAAATTGTAGCTTCCGAAGTTAGAACAGATTTAGTCAAGCAAATTACGAAAAAATATCTGGAGATTGGACACGAAATTGGGCATATATGTCCACTTCCACAAGAGAAAGAATGCATATGAGGAGTGTCACGTCGTTTAGTGCATATATTATTGCAAGTCCATCGGCTTTATTCTTAGCACAGCTTCAAAGAAAATACTCTAATGGTGGTAAATACCAAGTGCACGATGTTTTATTTTATCTTGATCTCTCAATGGAGCTTTCTTTTTGAGCTATTTCACTGTTTGAAATAAATATATTTTTTTAATTTTTGCTATTTCAAGCACGTGCACACAATGGCGTATTCGTAAATGTATACATATGTGAAGTTAGGACCTCTAAAAGTACAAATTAAGGATGTATATATAATATAAAATATGTAGGTAATATGTAAGTAAACATTTTATACAAGTATCATTCTAGCAAATTTTCAATTTTGTTTGGACTGGCAAACTTTTGGTTTGAGTAGATCGTCTGTTACTGTTCATAATTCATTTCTGTCGCGCGTCTGCTCATTTGTTGCGTATTATCTATCTTGGCTCGTCCACATATTCGTGAAATGATAATTAATAAAGTACAGCTGACTGCAGACTTAGACTGCAGGTATTTTGGAAAATTTGAATGCGGACATAGAAAGAGACGATTGTAGAAGTAAAAGGGCATTAGTACCGAAGCCAAATATTTGCTTTTTTATGTAATTTTCTCTACTACGTCATCGTTTCAAAGGTTGACTGATGAGTCAAGTCGTATTACGGAAAACTACATTTAATTGTTTGGATATTGTTCAAGGACAAACCGCTTTCGAATGATATAAAAATTAGCTTTAGAGCAAGGTTTAATGACGATTGTAAAAATGTCCTGATATATTTTTTAAAAAGATATTAGTTCAGCAGCCTAAGAAAAGCGGTACATAACCGAAAAAGAAATTGAGCCTCGAGCCAAAGAGAATTATTTGTGTCGACATCGGCTTTATTGGATACTAAAGTCTATTTTTACAATTTAATAATGGAGCTCCCTTTTGGAGTTCATAATTGAAGCTGTCTTATTATCCAATTTACATTTTCTACCGCAGCTAAATTTTTAATTGATTTACGATCAAAGGTCGAGTTCGGGCAGCTTATTACCCTCAGGATTTTTACGTAAATATTAGCACAAAGGGAGGTGGGTCGATATGTCAAATTAAAGCGTGATTTAATATTCTACTTGTGCAATATCAACATAAATTATTATGTGTGACTGGACATTAAATTTATAACATTTGTAAAAAATGATCCGGCAACTGCAAATTCCAATTTTAAAGTTCGCATTTACATCAGCACGAATACACACTCTTTCAGTGCATTTCACGAATCGATTGCGTTTTTTCCATATTGCTGCCAGCTTTGATGTCGAATACCGAACTTTAATAAACCCCTAAAAATAATGCACCATTCGGACTTAATTCACTGTGCAGGGCTCCGATATTCGCGTGATGAATCAAATTAAATTTTTGTAGAAAATCTCCACTGAATAGAGGCTTTACATTGAAAAGCGGCGCTGTATTCACAATATTCATCCTAATTGAGGCATTTAAGTCTGTGTAAAACTTGAGGTTGCTTGCACTATGGTTTATGTGCTTGGCATTTAAGATGCATGCATGGATTTTAAGAAAATATTTTTGAGGTAGTTTTTGCTCTTTTACTTACGGCTAAATCAACCACTGGCGTCTTATTTTCAATTACAGTGTACATTAGAGATTTGGCGAAGTGTGAATTTAAGGGGCGCCTAATAATTTCCTCTTGTTTGAGATTTCTTGAGACCAATATTTATTAAATCGATTAAAAATCTGGATTAATGATATTTCTTTTTGAAGCTTTCAGCATCTTTATGGCGAAATGAATCCTAAGGATAGTAAAAATTTAAAATTGCTTCTTGTTTTAGTTTAAAAGACCAATTTTTTAAACAGATATTTCTGCCCCCACTAGACACCCATATTTACTAAACTTTCACCAGTTTTCACATAAGCATAAAATGTAAGACTAGTTTGAAGCAGATTGGACGAATTACGCTTGATTCGAGGATAATGTTCAAACTTAATTAAAATTCTTTCCAAAAATTGAAAGAAGTAGGTAAAAGTACATATATCTGTGATTGATATATTATCAACATTAATTGGGAAGAAAGGCGTTCAATATATCTTACCTCAAAGCATTAAATAGAAAGTTAAACGATTTGATGGGAATTTGAGTTCCCGGAAATCTAAACACAAACCAGGAAAACATTGTAGTGAATAGAAGTGTAGAGAACGTAGTTAGATCATGGTATATTTGAGGTAATTCGCTGAAAGGAAAAAATTATTTCTAGAAACATTTTGTAGAAATTAATTAAATGACAAAAGAGCGCAAAAGCAAATGTGGTCGTAAATATGAAGCAAGAACTAATATGCGTAATATAGAGAAATCTTCGTTTGCTTTTAATTTTCAGTTACGACCTACTTTTCTTCTCTATTTGTGAATCCTGAAAAATAAATTAATTTCTTTTTATCTAAATATTGTATTCAGTTAACAATGGATAAGAATTTGCAAAAAATTGTCGAAATGAAATCTAATCGTCAGGCAGACATGTACGTTCTCTTCATACTCCTCAAATAGAACAAGATGACTGAAGCTCATATGTTCAGTGCTCATGAAAAATGTGTGAAGCGTTCACAAATAAGCCAAGTGTTTCATTTGAATTACACGTGACATCATTGAAACGGTGTTTGAAACGACCGATTTAAAACATGAATAAAACGTTGTTTCGTCATATTTCCTAGAAGAAGCAACAGCACTGAGGTGGATTCAGAGAAGTGATACAGTATTTCGTGCACTCTAAGTGAATCATATATACAGAGCAGAATGCTATTTAATCCGACCTTGACAAAAACTTTTGGCTGGCAACGAGCAACATTCTTGGCAAATATTAGTGGCACGTACACGTAAAATATATGGTGCTTCCTATTCATATTAATTGTTCATTATTGTGCCGTCTGGTTGGCAGCTATTATATGCAACTACAATAATTAGTCCTGTTTACAAACCGGCTTTGCTTTTAATTAGATTGCTACTGGCGAAAAAAATATCATCGCTAACCAGTTGCTTTGCCAATAGTCTTCATTTTATTAGGCTTGGAAAATTAATCGGAAATTTAAAGCTGTAGTGGTACGTTTACATTTAAAGCTGCGTTCATAAGGTGAACCTTCACTGGCCACAATTTTAGCTTCTTTATGTTGTTTTGGGGTACCAGACACTTTGGATTTTTTTTGCATTCGAAATGCAAAATTGGTGTTGAGAAATTAAACTTAGAAAAGAGCTCCACATTTTCACAAAACTCTAAATATCTCAGAAAACATAAGCTTCAGGTATGATAAATCTTAATAAATTTAACAATTATTTCGTTCGCCGGCACTAATATCAGAATAATGTACAGGGCAGTCGATTAAAAAAAATCAATTTTGGGTTGAGTCAAGTACATTAGAAAATAATTTTAAAATATACCCCCAACCGGCTTTCATTTATCAGGTAAAATAATACTTTTTATAATTAAATAGGTTAGTCGCATTCTTCCGTGTCGTATAATCTGAATAACCCTGTTTATTATAGAACGACTTTCTGCAATACTGCCATTATGCAAACAGTTTTAAGCAGCAAGTTAGTTGTTTTTTATGTCTTTTTTTAATCAAAAAATTATGATATGTATGTACAGTAGGTACACTAGATCCAAGAGAGCAGAAACCGAAAGAAAAAACCGAAATCAGCCATAAAAAAAGTCACTACAAGCATTAGAACGTCGAAAAGCTCTAATAATCGTTTATTTGCCTGACTTGAAGAATAATTAGCATCCGCTAATTGAACTAATTATCGTCCAGTCAATTCGGGCAATAATCGTAGATCATGAATCGTTTCCAGGCAACAATTTTAATGAAAAATATTCAGTGAAAATAGTGAAAACGCACTGTCGGTAAAATTATGAGGATTCGATCAAGTGGAATGGACCAATGGGATGTTGCGTCGCGACGCTCCGATCAGCGTGACGGCAGTTTTGTTGAAATGTGGCCGACGCCAAGTTCGACGCGCGGCGTCGGTCGTGAAAAATGTTTGTGAATGTTCAGATTCCGTGCATCGTTAAAATAATTTGGACTAAACGCATATTTGCGTTTTTTTTGTGTCGGTAGACATTAGTAGTGTCGACCATAATCTATCCTCGAATGTAGTGCTGTTTGCTTCGCAGTGAAAATGCCTTTTTTTCCTATGTAGAGCTCAACATTAAAGTAATTCAGGGGGAAAGCTCGAATTAACGTTTTAGTATTTTTGGACGCTAATCGATATTAAAATAGATATTTTTAAAATAATGTATGTCATTATTACGTAAGGAAATTTGGTGATATCGCTAAAAAAATAGCTAAACGTTGCCAACTTGCTCTAAGACCCCAATGTTTGAAAAGTTAATTTCTGACTTAAATGATGATTCGAGCATATTTTTCACACTTTCAAAACATATAGTTAAAAAAAGGGTAAAATAACACCTTCACCCACTGACGCGTCCAAATACTTCTGAATTTGTGATTGTAAGTTATTAGTTTGAAATATAATAATACCTGGAGCCACGCACACCAGCAGCTGGCTGTTTACAATTTTCGGTCAAAACATATATGAAAATATTATTTGTAATTCGTCTACTCCTGAGCAGAGTTGGTGTAATAAATATGCTGATTTCTTCAGAGTCTTTATCTAACACTTCAATTTACTGTTTACTTTGCAATAGTGCAGTGTTGTGGTGAACAATAAAATTATTAGTGTTTAAATTTGGATATTACTATGGCACTGGATTCTATTACGAGAAAATGAGCAGGTCGACCAAGGTGAGTGGTAAAATTGTAACCAAATTCCTCAACTTCGGGGCCCCAATTGGGAAATTGCCAAATACATTTATTTTTCACAACTTATGAAAGTTTCTAACGTATTTAAACTCGAGTCGCTGTTGGTACGCGATCGAATCGCTCCGCTAAGGTAAAGTTAATTTCCAATTAGGTTGTAATGAATATTTGGCTCTCCAAGTCGCCCCCTCCTCATCATTTGTAAATTAATTATCAGTCTTTGAAATGGAAATGAAGATCTTGCCTAATCTGTTACGATAACGAACATTCCGTGTAAACAAGTATCTCGGGCGCGTTTTGTTTTAATTACGAGTTAGTTTAAGAATGTTTCGGTTTCAAATTCGTTTCGAACAACATTTATGGCACAAAACTGAGACAATTTAAGGCGCAATTGAGGCAAGCCTTTGAAATATGTGAATGCTTGGAACATTCCAGCTGCTAATGTAAACTTTCCACTAATGGTTCCAAAGCGCTTCCATACATAACAGTTTCTTGTATATAATTGTACACATTTGCATGGGCAGCATACATCTACCACATTGTTTTCACGTGAGTTAGATTGACAAGGGGTGTCCGAGTAAGTGTAATTGTGTTTAATTAGCATTCGGCAGCAGAACAGAGAAATGATTTCTAAGAAAAAAATTGTAAAATCACGCTAAAACTTAGATAGGAACCACTGATAAGGAACTTCTTAGCAAAAGCATAAGGAAGAAAGGGGACGAAACAGGGCCACAGAAAGACAGACAACGATTGAAATGATAAAAAGAAGCCCAAATAATTTGATCCCTGCGTATTAGTCAATTTCAACATAAAGGGAACCTTTGCTTTCACTGTAAGAATAATTCTTGATACTCTCCGTCCGAAAGGAATGGGAAACTTTCACAGGGACCAGGAATAATGCTAATTTTGTAGTTTTTCCAGTTGACAAAAGAAATGTTGCAGTCATCATAAACAAACCGAAAATTCAATACCAAAATGATCAACTTCTTCAAAACCTAAGAAAGTTCAGATGTGACCAAATAACTGGATTAGGCGAGTTTCTCGCTTAGAATATTTGGCATTTTTCTTTGGCTTTGGCGTCTTCGCAAAAAGAAGGTAGACTTTATTTATGTTCGACATTGTCAAACATTTWGAGTTTACTCGCTCGTAATAAATGGCCAACCCCAAATACGCTGAGAGCCAAACATGTTTGCAGCGGTATCGTTGTAATTTTTCRAAAAAAAAATCAGCAACAAAACTTACAAAATCCTGGATTCCTTACAAGTCACTTTAGCTTGTGACATAAAATAATCCTAATAATTAATGTATTGARGGCTTATATCAATAAGTTTGCGTTTCCTACAAATATTTAGTTGAAAGTGATATTCAGCAAGAGAAAGTGGTAAAAACGATCAAGTAATTCCTAGATTAGCTCAAGTATACAAATGGGCAAAACATGCAGCCACGTGTTTGTATTTCGAGTCCATACCACATCTCAAGGCTCTTGTTTATTGCACTTAATCCCATCTTCTCAGATATCAATTGCGAATGCACCTTTCTGTTTACATCATCAGCCGAATCCCATGGGATTTCTTTATTTTTAATTGTCGGGTTTTCGGAATCCTGCAAAATAAACACGTTCTGGCGTTTCATTCTAAAATACATTTAACGACTAGAAAATTCATTCTATTTTCACGTTTATGGACGAGAATGTGTACTTCAAACAAACGTGTTTGGCCAAATGGATTATAACTATTTGAATTGAAATCAGTATGTATTTGACCCTGCTCCCGATGAAATGAGGGAATAATTGCTGCAGTTATGTTGGTTTCAGTTCCCACATTACACTGCAAGCTTTATGATCTGCAATTCGACTGAGAATCTAATGAAAATAAATTATCTGATTTCTTCTGCGAACTATCCATCTGGCGGTTCTATAAATAATATCATCCAGTCAACGAAGGAAAACAAATTCACTTGATCAAATAGAAGATACGATTAAGTAGTTACAAGCCTTGGAAAGATGCTTCAGCATATACGAAGCCTATTATTTACCAAGAATTTACGTTCTATGTAATACACGATGCTTGAAATATTTTGTTTTTATTCATTCATCAATTCATTATTAATAGTTGCTAACTAAACTTATTGTTAGTCATGTATTCAACCATTACAAGGATATTATCCAGCACAAATTTTGTAAATTTGAGACCGTAAATACACATGTAAAATCCAGGAAAAGCTTTAAAACAGTCGGCTGCTCTGTGCATGTCGTTTGCGCTCAAATCTTGCTTAATTTAGAATAACTTGACATGCGAAAAGCATTTTAATTAATTAAAACCTACATGCATTCACATACTGGTAGTTCTGTTGACAAACCAGCGCTATTAAATTTAATCCAAGCTGTGCTTTTAATATTCGGATTTGTTTGTAGATGTAATGCCTGGATTTGTTACTGGTGTGTTTGAGCTAGATCAACTTTACGGGACGAAACTTCGCTATTCAACCTAATTCTACAGTCCTAATGGAAATTGGGATATGTTATGTTAAGTAATGACTAGACTCCAACTCGCTTCAAATATATGGAGAATGAAAGCTAAATATAAGCAATGCGAATGTCATTCTATTAATTGCTATGTACGCATTATGCGGAGTTACTCGCTATGTAAGAATATTTCAATTTTAGTCTACCAACAGAGTAAATTACTGCACACAACGCAACGCTGAAGATTGTGCGAACTGATGAAAATGTTTTCTTCACATATTCCGCAATCAATAAAGGGCGTTTGGTTATTGTCTTTTCACTGTTTTTCTACAGCTGATCATTCCTTTAGGCCAAAACTTGGCACTTATTTGCTCTTCTCGTGTATTTTTCCCACAGAAACTTCACCACGATAACAGAAACTCGGTGGAAAGTTGAGAGGGTCGAAGTACATTTTTCTCGTCATCCGATATTTTCTTTTTCACGGTTAATCATTGGGCGAAATGAAGACAAACTTTTCGAAAGTTAAATGGTATTCTAGCTGTTCATGTTACGAAATCATAATAAGGAAAGTGGTAATTTCTTTAAAGTTGTTGTCATTAATGTTTATGTGTTACTTCGTCAGTAATCCAATCATGCAAAGTTTTTTGTATGTATGGCTGCACTGAAAATTTTGCCGAGTAATAAATGAATACTTATTACTCGTTTATTAAAATATCAGCATATTGTCATCATGCTACTAACTTTTTGCTCGCAATAATCATAAAGTTAACATGCTCAAGTGTTCTAAATACGTGGACAATGTAAAATAAATCAATGATTCGAAGACAGTTAAAACAATCTATAAGCAGTTGAAGTAAAAGAAACAGTGCGGCTAACAGGAAAATGTAGTGAAATTAATTGCAATTAATCAAGTGGAAATGAAGCATGATCCCGTAAGGAGCAACTTATTCAAAAAAATCGATCTCTAACAGAAATAATTTGCTTCATAGGTTGGGCTTTTGACTTATTTACAGTACATGCTGACCTGATTCCTTCTGACCTCTCCAAAATTGTAATACACGCTTGTGTATGCCTTAAAACTTTATCTTTTCGAGCCTTATTCCCAATTAAAACTTTATTACGCATGTTCTGTGCTGCTTTCCTGGTGTTTGTTAACATGAAAAACTTTCTGTTTCAGGATTGAAAAATCAATTACTTCAGTTTCATAACAGGAAATGATTAAAAATAGAAGCATTTATTCTTTAATATTCCAGTATATTAATAACTATTTGTTCTGATGAGCTGCTAACCATGTCGTTTTAAGCATTTTAGTTTAATCTTAGAAATACATGATTTAATGTAAATTCAATACCATTCTTTTCCGCTCGTTTTGTTGCATTTGCAGTATCTGCAAAGACCCATCAAAACGTCGTTAATTCACCCTCCACGTCACATGCCAGATAAAAACTCCCCCGTGTTTTAAAACATTGTTCTCTTTATTGTTAGCGACGTATCTTTTGATCTTTTCGCGTGTATTTCCCCAAAGTAGCACCTTTCTCATTTAGAAAACTCATTAATAATGGGAAGGAAAGCGGAATAGGAAAATCGGGTCAAACGAGGAATATTTCACGCACAAATTCAACCGCACACTTTTGTATTTCGTTCTGTTCTATTTTTGCTCGGCATTCGGCATTGTTTATCGGTCGGTCGTTTATTTAAAGTTGTGACAGACGATTGGGTTGGCCATTTTTTTTCGCTCAACTATCGGTTATCAGTTCGAAGGTCGGACTGGTTTTGTTCAAAGGAGACCGGGTTTTGAGTTCAAATCTACTGGATTCAGTGCTATGGTGAAAACAGCATCGTTGGCTGTTGACCGATTTTCCAAACTTAATGGAAAAGGTAGATACTTGGAGAAAAAATACCACACATTCTTTCATTCATCAGTTTTTTTCCTTCTTTTCATAAAAAATTATAATTTGTAAAAATCATATACAATGTGGTATTTATTAAACATTGGCGTACTTTTCTTGACGATGTCTTATTATTCTTCGTTTATGTGTACGAAGATGTTAACAGGAGAAGATCGAAATTCAACCTTGTGATTAGCAAATTTTTGAAATTAATCCAGTGTTTGATTGCAGACCGTTTGCTGCATTTTACAAGCACTGCACAGAAAATGTAGAAGCTTTACTTATTGTTGCTTTTAATTTTTTGTTCAATTCACTGCTTCGGGCTGAAAAGGATTTAAAAAATTGTCTGAAAAACTCAGGCACGAAATCCAAATATGTCCCTGCTACTTGATTTGACGCAATAGCACACAATTCTCGTTTACATATTTGGGAATCTATAACGTAAAACTATTTAAAAGATGGGATCTAACAATTTACTATCGTTTAGGAAAAATGTCGTCAATTTGCTTGTAGTCCTATATATTTGATCACGCAACTAATCAAGAGCTTCAAATACACACGCTAAACTTGGAATCGAAAAAAGCTCCCGTGAAATTGTTTTTCTTTTAAATCAATATTAAAGAATACGACAT